CCCAGCACTTTGGGAGGCCGAGGCGGGTGGATCACGAGGTCAAGAGATCGAGACCATCGTGGTCAACACAGTGAAACCCCGTCTCTACTAAAAATACAAAACATTAGCTGGGCATGGTGGTGTGTGCCTATAATCCCAGCTACTCAGGAAGCTGAGGCAGGAGAATTGCCTGAACCCAGGAGGCGGAGGTTGCGGTGAGCCGAGATCGCGCCATTGCACTCCAGCCTGGGTAACCAGAGCGAAACTCCGTCCCAAAAAAAAAAAAAAAAAAATTAGCTAGGCATGGTGGTGGGCGCCTATAATTCCAGCTACTTGGGAGGCTGAGGCAGGAGACCTGCTTGAACCCCGGATGTGGAGGTTGCAATGAACCAAGATTGTGCCATTGCACTCCAGCCTGGGTGACAAGAGAGACTCTGTCTTTAAAAAAAAAAAAAAAAAAAAGCAGCTCTGGTTTCTTTAGGGAGAATAGTAATTAGAACAATCTGAGTTCTAGGTCTAGGTGTACTAATTTGTACTGGAGTATCATGGCTTATAGGTCCTTTCAGAGGACAGACTATCACACTAATGCACACAAACAAATGCACACACATACCCAATTTATAAAAATATGTGCTCATATTGATATTTCCAATTCTGATCCAGCACTGCAGAGTTCATTCTAGCCATCCCTCTTTCCGTATTTGTTTATTTATTTATTTATTTATTTATTTGAGACAGTCTCACTCTGTCGCCCAGGCTGGAGTACAATGGTGTGATCTTGGCTCACTGTAACCCTCCCAGCTTCAAGTGATTCTCCTGCCTCAGCCTCCCGAGTAGTTGGGATTACAGGTGTCTGCCATCATGCCCCGCTAATTTTTGTATTTTTAGTAGAGATGGGGTTTCACCATGTTGGACAGGCTGGTCTCAAACTCCTGACCTCAGGTGATCCACCCGCCTCAGCCTCCCAAAGTGCTGGGATTACAGGCGTGAGCCACTGCATCTGGACTCTGTGAAGCCATTCTTTACTATACTCAACCACGTATAAATGTTCCTTCTTGCTGGGTGCAGTGGCTTATGCCTGAAATCCCAGGTATGGAGGACAAAAATCACACTCCATCTCAAAAAAAAAATTTTAAAAAAGTTCCTTTCTTCCCCTCTGATTCACTTCAGTTCAGTCCGCTGTCATCCGTTACCAACCTGGATACACACACTGGTGCTAGGGCCAAAAACACCTGCAGCCACTGATGTATATGTTACATTGCCAGTGCTCACTCAGGTATGCTGCTGCCTGGCTTCTTTTGGGGCCATTATGTTGGCTATTTCCGCCTATGATCCCTTCAATAGCAACTCTAACTGGCAAAGCACTCTTCACCCCAACTCTAATCCACACAGTGACAGTCTGACAGTCATAGCCAATCAGAAAGGGCTGTTTTAGGGCCGGGCGCGGTGGCTCAAGTCTGTAATCCCAGCACTTTGAAAGGCCGAGGCGGGTGGATCACGAGGTCACGAGATCGAGACCATCCTGGTCAACATGGTGAAACCCATCTCTACTAAAAATACAAAAAATTAGCTGGGCATGGTGGCACGTGCCTGTAGTCCCAGCTACTCAGGAGGCTGAGGCAGGAGAATTGCCTGAACCCAGGAGGCGGAGGTTGCGGTGAGCCGAGATTGCGCCATTGCACTCCAGCCTGGGTAACAAGAGCAAACCCCGTCTCCAAAAAAAGAAAAAAAAAAAAAAAAAAAAGAGCTGCTTTAAAGTCCTGACATTCACAGGATTTTATGGAAATTACTCTTTTAGATTTTACACACCCTTTACTTATTTTAGCTCCTATTTGCTAGGATTCAAACATAAATTTGGTTTATGCCTAATTTTTCTTCTCTCTCCTAACCCTTTCTTGTGGTCCTCTTCCCGTAAGCTCTTTCTTAATCTTTCATATACATGGAATGTTGGCAGGCAGGTCCTTCAGGCATGTCAGAACACTAGATTGTATCAGCTTTAATTCTCAAAATGCCCCCATGACATTTGTCATTCTCTCTTTTTTCTTTTTTTCTGAGACAGAGCCTTACTTCTGTCACCCAGGTTGGGGTGTAGTGATGCGATCTCGGCTCACTGCCACCTCCACCTCCCGGGTTAAAGCAATTCTCCTGCCTCAGCCTCCCGAGTAGCTGGGACTACAGGTATGTGCCACCATGCCTGGCTAATTTTTTTTTTCAAGACAGAGTTTCACTCTTGATGCCTAGGCTGGAATGCAATGGTACGATCTCGGCTGACCGCAACCTCTGCTTCCTGAATTCAAGCAATTCTTCTGCCTCAGCCTCCTGAGTAGCTGGGATTACAGGGGCTCAAACCACCTTGACCAGCTATTTTTTGTATTTTTTGAACAGACAGGGTTTCATCATACAGGCTGGTTTCTTTTTTTTTTTTTTCTTCTAAAAAAAATTTTTTTTAATTTTTATTTATTTTATTTTTTTGACCAGGCTAGTTTCAAACTCCTGACCTCATGATCTACTTGCCTCGGCCTCCCAAAGTGCTGAGATTACAGGTGTGAGCCACTGCGCCTGGCCTAATTTTTTTGTATTGTTAGTAGAGACTGGATTTCACCATATTCGCCAGGATGGTCTTGAGCTCCTGACCTCATGATCCGCCCACCTCGGCCTCCCAAAGTGCTGGTATTACAGACGTGAGCGACGGTACTTGGCCACTGTTATTCTCTTAAATTATTGTACTAATAGTTTAATTCACAAACTGTCTTGAGGACAGAGGACTGTACTACAGCAGCAGCACAGGACTGCAATCTCATTCCAAGGATTTGTCCCAAATAAAAGAACTTCCGATTCTCCTGACTGGTGGAAAGAGAAGGGTGCCTGTAGCTTTCAGTTTGAAGACTGCCCCGAGCCACATTTGGTACCAATGTCCAGGTTGTTGTCTTATGATTATTCTTTAAACAATCATAAGCAGGATTTAGATGTTAAGTTGTTTTTCCAATGATACTGATACCTAATATTCTCTGATTTTTTTTTTTTTTTTCTTTTTGAGATGGAGTCTCACTCTGTGGCCCAGGCTGTAGTGCAATGTCGCGATCTCGGCTCACTGCACCCTCTGCCTCCCAGGTTCAAGCCATTCTCCTGCCTCAGCCTCCTGAGTAGCTGGGATTACAGGCATGTGCCACCATACCCAGCTAATTTTTGTACTTTTCGTAGAGACAGAGTTTCATCATGATGGTGAGGCGGGTCTCGATCTCCTGACCTCACGATCCACCTGCCTCAGCCTTCCAAAGTTCTGGGATTACAGGCGTGAGCCACTGCACCTGACCTATTCCTTGATTTCTCTTGTTTCTAACTGATGCATCTGAAAGAGGACTGGGCAGGGTTAGCAAAGTAGTCTGTGGCTCTGAGACTGAAGGGTATTAATTTGTTTGTACACAGAATTAGCCCAAGAGTTAATAACCTTGATGTCACTAATACCCTTCCCTATTTATTAAGCTAACTAGTAATGGACTAATTACATTTAAACATTTTATTACTTAGCAGATACTTAATAATGTACAATTACTTCATTTGAGTTGAGATAAAAAGCTTTTGATTTCATAAAAGATGTACCTGAGAGATTACATGCAAGACAGATAATTCTGAATTAAAGCCAGAGTATATTCAATCTTCAGCATTACAGACATTGAAAATAGGCTGTCTATTCTGGATACTGAAATTGCTTCCTTTACCAAAATAATAAAGTTTAATGAGGAAAGTAGCTTTGTTTTGTTTATAGCTCTACTCTGTAATATACACCTGACAACATAGTAGGCGCTCAATAAATATTTGTTGAACAAATGAAAATGTCTGGTGGTATAACAGAAGAAAATAAAAATTTATTAAACTAAATCCTGAAGGAATTATTGCCCAATTATCAATATTCCAAACAGTGGCAGGAAGTGTAACTGTTAAGGATGCATGTGGAAAATGATTAATACTAATATGTGGCCTGAAGAATCAAACCTCCTCTCCACCTCTGGTAGTTCAAAGGCTGGGGAAGGGGATAAGTTTTGCTAAGAACTGATCAACATGATGAAATCTCATCTCTACTAAAAATACAAAAAACTAGCCAGGTATGGTGGCACACTCCTGTGGTCCCAGCTATTTGGGAGGCTGAGGCAGGAGAGCCGGCTGACCCCAGGAGGTGGAGGCTGCAGTGAGCTGAGATCATGCCAGAGGTCTGACAGCCCTGCCATTTCCTAACTTCTGCTTTGTGGCCATCCTCCTACCTTTGGAAGCTCCAGTCATGACCCACAGTGTTGGTCACATCCTGGGAACTCTCTCTTTGGGCAACAGAGCAAGACTGTATCTCAAACAAATAAAAATAAAAGCAGGAGAAAAAGGAAATATGTGTATATACTATAGGGCATTAGGAAAAAGTCTATTTTCCTATTTACAGGTTTAGATTCAGTAATCTTTTTTTTTTTTTTTGAGACAGAGTTTCACTCGTTACCCAGGCTGGAGTGCAATGGCACGATCTCGGCTCACCGCAACCTCCGCCTCCTAGGTTCAGGCAATTCTCCTGCCTCAGCCTCCTGAGTAGCTGGGATTACAGGCACGTGCCACCATGCCCAGCTAATGTTTTTTTGTAGTTTTAGTAGAGACGGGGTTTCACCATGTTGACCAGGATGGTCTCGATCTCTTGACCTCGTGACCCACCGGCCTCGGCCTCCCAAAGTGCTGGGATTACAGGCGTGAGCCACCGCGCCCGGCAAGATTCAGGAATCTTAAACTCCAATGATTTCAGAGGACAGGCCATTACTATAAATGGGTGAAGCAATTAGATATAATAGGGTGGAGTAGATTCTGTGGGCTGAATTCACGTCAAAGGCAGCTCTCATTTGTGAGCTTTAGTTTAGATTTTACAATTGTCTTTGTGAACTGACATTTGCCCTTGAAAGGTGTGTTTGTATGTGTGCATCTAGGTCGGTGTGTTCCAGCAGTTACTGGCTGGACAATTTTAAGGATAAAGAGGCATATTTGCCACTCACAGTGGTGAGGAAACAAACACTTGGAGGACCCATGTACTATCAGTGCTCTTCTGTGGCCTGGAACACCAAAAGCCAGGACTAGTTTGCAAGAGTTGTCTGAAGCATTTGGGTTTTTTTTTTTTTTTTTTTTTTTTGACTGAATAACTCAGACTTGGAGAATGAACCACTGGGAGAAGAAAGAGAGAGTTCCCAGGATGTGACCAACACTGTGGGTCATGACTGGAGCTTCCAAAGGTAGGAGGATGGCCACAAAGCAGAAGTTAGGAAATGGCAGGGCTGTCAGACCTCTGGGTAGGGTAAAAAGAATATAAATTAGGTTTTCTACAAGGCAACCCCATGGGAAGGGAGTAATATCTTGTTAGGTTTCCTGGGGCAATCAGAAAGGTCATTTAGCAAGATGGCCATTGATACACTAAAACTTGGATGTACAAAAAAAAAACATAACTTGGCCGGGCGCGGTGGCTCACACCTGTAATCCCAGCACTTTGGGAGGCCGAGGCGGGTGGATCACGAGGTCAAGAGATCGAGACCATCCTGGTCAACATGGTGAAACCCCGTCTCTACTAAAAATACAAAAAATTAGCTGGGCATGGTGGCGTGTGCCTGTAGTCCCAGCTACTCAGGAGGCTGAGGCAGGAGAATTGCCTGAACCCAGGAGGCGGAGGTTGCGGTGAGCCGAGATCGTGCTATTGCACTCCAGCCTGGGTAATAAGAGCGAAACTCTGTCTCAAAAAAAATATATAACTTGATCAATCAGTATGACTAATCTCATTTTGTTTCCCAACACTTGACTTCCTCTTATGGTAGTAGATGCAAAGCAAGGAACTCATTTTGCTGGCCTCCCTTGTAGAGTCTTTTGGGGTAAAAGTTAGCCAGCTTGGTGGCTCACACCGTAATCTCAGCACTTTGGTAGGCCAAGGCAGGTGGATCATGAGGTCAGGAGTTCAAGACCAGCCTGGCCAACATAGTGAAACCCTGTCTCTACTAAAAATACAAAAAATTGGGCCGGGCGCTGTGGCTCACACCTGTAATCCTAGCATTTTGGGAGGCTGAGGTGGGTGGATCACCTGAGGTCTGGAGTTCAAGACCAGCCTGGCCATCATGGTGAAACCCTATCTTTAAAAAAAAAAAAAGAAAAAAAAAATACAAAAAATTAGCAGGGTATGGTGGTGGGCACCTGTAATGTCAGCTACTCGGGAGGCTGAGGCAGGAGAATTGCTTGAACTTGGGAGGCTAAGGTTATAGAGAGCCGAGATTGTGCCATTGCATTCCAGCCTGGGCAACATAGTGAGACTGTCTTAAAACAAAAGTTCACTATGCTAAAACCACAGTGACATGAGAAATCTGGGAGTGGAATACAAATTTCATTCTTTTTTTTTGAGATTGAGTCTCACTCCATCACCCGAGCTGAAGTGCAGTTGTGCAATCTTGGCTCACTGCAACTTCTGCCTCCTGGGTTCAAATGATTCTCCTGCCTCAGCCTCCCGAGTGGCTGGAATTACAGGCAGGTGCCACCACACCTGGCTAATTTTTTGTATTTTTAATAGAGATGGATTTTCACGTTGTTAGCCAGGATGATCTCGATTTCCTGACCTCATGATCCACCTACCTCAGCTTCCCAAAGTGCTGGGATTACAGGCGCGGCCAGACTTCATTCTTTTTTTTTTTTTTTTTTTCCCAAGGTAACTGACAGACTTCATTCTTAAAGCAGTGCGCCTGTGTGGCCATGAGTCTAAGTTCCCAATGAATAAGATTAAGTGAAAGTATTGATGAGACTTCTAGGAAGAGAGCTTAAATAGAGCTCCTACCTATCAAATGCACTAAAATTGTGCAAATATAGCAGATTTTGTGTTGTTTAATTTTCCCTTCTTCCTACAGTGTGATTTATTTAAGTTACTTCGCCCACTCACTAAGTCTATTAGACTTATACTACTATCTTGTATGGTGGAGCTGAGGAGAATAAGGGGATAAAGAAGTAAAGAAAAATGTGCCTTTCAGCTGGGCATGGTGGCTCATCCCTGTAATCCCAGCACTTTGGGAGGCCAAGGCCGGTGGATCACAAGGTCAGGAGTTTGAGACCAGCCTGGCCAATATGGTGAAATCCCACCTCTAAAAAAATTAAAAATAAATAAATTTTTTAAAAAAGAAAAATGTGCCTTTCCTCACATTTACTCGTATGCTACACCCATCACAGGGAACAATATCCTACAAAAGAAGTGTGTCCATGAGTCTGGGGCAGTGATCTGCAATTAAGTGAGGGGGGACCCATGATGGAGCAGATGATTGGGTGACAGCATATGATGTGTTGGGCACCTGGGAACAGCATGCAATTTCCAAGTAGGGTGATAGATAACTCAGAAGGGACATAAGCCAATACCCCTGCTTTTTTTTCCAACTAGACTAGAGTAAGGAGAGAGACTAATTCTAGCAGTAATCATGATAAGCCCTATTCTTTTAGTGTGCATTAAAACCACGTATGGGGTATGACTGTCATTATGCTGGTAAATGTTACAAGGGATGCAAGATGACTATTTGTTCTTCAACAGCCTTTTCTTAGCCCAAAACAGCTTTGTTTATCATTATTGTTATTTTTTATTTTTTTTCTGAGATAGAGTCTCGCTCTGTCACCCAGGCTGGAGTGCAGTGGTGGCATGATCTCAGCTCACTGCAACCTACTCCTTCCAGATTCAAGTGATTCTCCTGCCTCAGCCTCCAGAGTAGCTGGGATTACAGGTGCATGGCACCACACCTGGTTGATTCTTGTATTTTTAGTAGAGATGAGGTTTCACCATGTTGGCCAGGCTGGTCTTGAACTCCTGACCTCAGGTGACCTCCCCCCCACCCCGCCTTGGCCTCCCAAAGTGCTGAGATTACAGGCATGAGCCATCGTGTCTGGCCATGTTTATCATTATTGCTAGTAGAGCTTATAAACTATAATTAAAATAATCATAGTTTCCAATTGAAAAATGTCTGAACTTTATGATCTGAGGAATAAAAGACTTATGAGATAAAATATAAAATCTGGACTTTTCCAGATAATTTAGGACATACTATTGTCCCAACCAAAACACATGGCAAACTCATGGGCACATATTAATAATTACCTTTACACTCTTGAAATTGTAGTTTTGACCTCTCTTAATTTAGAGGTTCATTAATGAAAGATTAAGTTCATGTTTCTATCTCTTGAATAAAGTTCAAAAGTAAGGTTTAAATCAGGGTATAGGTCAGAATAGCTATCCTCTCTTTTTCAGATCTGGGTGGTTTTTATAGCAATCTGTGTAGCAAGATGCATACAGAGCTATGGGAGTGGGAAAATTCCTCCTACTTTTTTCCTTTTGCTTTTTATTTTATTATTTTTTATTATGTTTTTTTGAGACAGAGCTTTGCTTTTGTTGCCCAGGTTGGAGTGCAAAGGTGCGACTTTGACTCACTGCAACCTCCACCTCCTGGGTTCAAGCGATTCTCCTGCTTCAGTCTCCTGAGTATCTGGGATTACAGGTACATGCCACCACACCCAGCTAATTTTGTATTTTTAGTAGAGATGGGGTTTCACCATGTTGGTCTGGCTAGTCTCAAACTCCTGACCTCAGGTGATCCACCCACCTTGGCCTCCCAAAGTGCTGGGATTATAGGTGTAAGCCACCGCACCTGGCCTCCTTTTGCTTTTTTTTTTGAGATGAAGTCTCACCCTTGTCAACCAGGCTAGAGTGCAATGGCGCCATCTCAGCTCACTGCAACCTCCGCCTCCTGGGTTCAAGTGATTCTCCTGCTTCAGCCTCCCAAGTAGCTGGGATTACAGGGGCCTGCCACCGCGCCCAGTTAATTTTGTATTTTTAGTAGAGATGGGGTTTCACCATGTTGGCCAGGATAGTCTTGAACTCCTAACCTCAGGTGATCCGCCTGCCTCAGCTTCCCAAAGTTCTGGGATTACAGGCATGAGTGACTGTGTCCAGCTGGAGTGCAATGGCGTGGTCTCAGCTCACTGCAACCTCTGCCTCTGGGTTCAAGCAATTGTTCTGCCTCAGCCTACCGAGTAGCTGGGACTATAGGTGCGTGCTACCACACTCAGCTAATCTTTGTTTTTTTTGTTTGTTTTTTGAGATGAAGTTTCACTTTTGTCAACCAGGCTAGAGCGCAATGGCGTGATCTCAGCTCACTGTAACCTCCGCCTCCGGGTTCAAACGATTCTTCTGGGATTAGAAGCACCCGCCACTATGTCTGGCTAATTTTTTGCATTTTTAGTAGAGATGAGGTTTCACCATGTTGGCTAGGCTGATCTCAAACTCCTGACCTCAAGTGATCTGCCCACCTCGGCCTCCCAAACTTCTGGGATTACAAGCGTGAGCCACTGCGCCTGGCCTAATTTTTGTATTTTTAGTAGAGATGGAGTTTCACTATGTTGGCCAGGCTGGTCTCGAGCTCCTGACCTTGTGATCTGCCCACCGTGGCCTCCCAGAGTGCTGGGATTATAGGCGTGAGCCATCACGCCTGGCCTCTTTTTGCTTTTTAAACATTATAAATGACTTGGGAGGTTATTTGCCAACTGAAGACCATCCCTTAGGAAATTTGTTCCCAGTTTTCCTAGACCTAGATAGATGCCCAACTGCTTAACATATTATCTTCTGCTTGGTTCTCCTCATATGAACTATCAACTTGCAAAATATTCTGAGAAGTGAAACAAGCGGTGTCCACGTTCTCCCATGAAGGAGGCTAGCAAAAATAAACTAAGGCACCCTGCTTTAAGGGTAAAGGTCATATTCCACTCTCGAATGTTTCTATTATTTCAGCCTAGTGAACTTTCACCCACAAAAGACTTTCTTTGAACAGTCTGATCAAAAACAAAAACAAGGTCTTTAATTTTTTTTTTTTTTTTTTTAGATTGTTTACTTACAGCTAAACCTTTAGACAGGAGGCCAACTCTCAGTGGTCACTTTCAAATAGGTTTACTTTGGACTGATGAGATTTTTCCACAACTTTCAAATAGGCACATGAATGATGTCAGTATTCTTGACTTTATCTGTTTTTCTGAAGCATTTACTTTCTCTCAGGGAACACCTTAGGGGAGTACTATGGATTTAAAAGAGTGACTTTAATGGGGACTCTGTGTCCAGTCCTTAAGTGAGGAGTGTAGTTGATTGGATGGTGACCAACAGATTTAACGTGACATTGCTAGTTCTGCATGTAAGTGGAGGAGAGAGTCGGGTAGGGAAAGTCAGCAAGCCATGTCAAATATGCCTTCACGTTCCTTTATTCACACAGCACCTTCCCCTTGAGGATCATGC